AGCCGCCCAATTGACCAGGCCACGCCGCGGCTCGCTATCTTACATCGAGACAAAAAAAGGTTGCACCCTCTACTCTTGAAATGTTCCTTCGCCGCTCACGCGGCCATTTCCTACCTTTGGACTTATTGTCAATGCGATACAGCAGGGTTGGACGTACATTTCCTATTCGGTGAAATACTTTTGGTTGGGTCTCCCACGTGGATTAAACTCAACCGCCGTAGGTTTGGGACAACGCGCGTTTTTTTTTTTTTTTTTTTTTTTTTTTTTTTTTTTTTTTTTTTTTTTTTTTTTTTTTTTTCTCCCGAAAGCGAGCAACACAACAAAAACAGACATTGTTGGAGGTCCGCGCGGGTATGTGTCAGGGAGGCGAGCGGGGCCCAGCGCCCACCCGAGAAGCCAGCCTGAACCGCCGAAAACTTGTGGTTTTGTTCCTTCTGGGAGGGAAACAGATGAGCGACGCCAAACAATGGGGTCGTCTTCGCCGATATTGGCGCCGAAAGTGCCCGCGTAAGACCGCGCGTAATCGCCCTCGTCTACAATGTAGCGTGCCGCGTTGGTGGCCCTCGTGAGCTGCGGCGTAAAGTCGCTATGTCGTCTCGCGTAAAGTTTTCTTCGCTCAGATGCGTTATTCGTGCTGTCCTTGTCGGGTGCGCCATTAATACTAACTGCCTCGGACCTGGTCTTCAGGCATCCCAAAGGGGCGGGGCCATAATAGTTAGATGGTGTCGGGGGATCGCGCCGAGTCGCCGCTGCATCGGCGACGCGGCGACGCATCGGCGATGCCTCGGCCATGCGCCGCGTTCCTCCGTCCCCGACTAGTTTGGCCCCACTTGGGAAGGGTTCCATTCGGGCGACGTCAGCTTACCACCCCATCCATGGCCAGGCCAGGATCTCCACGCCTCCCTGGCCAAACCAGGAGGGTCTACAGTCGGCCCGGACTAGTAGGTCGACCCTACGAAATCAAGGGTGCCTTTGTGTCCTGTGTCTCGCGACCCGTGCCTCCTGCATTCCTGCGGCAGTGTGGCCCTCAGATGGGTTTTGCGTCTTCGCGCGTGTCTTGTGCAATGAAATCCGACTGTGCGCGCCGATCCTGGGCCCAGGGTGGGCCTTGCCAGGATCGGTGAGGTGGTCAGCTTCGGCGATCCACATTTATCCATGCCCCTGCTGCTGCCTCCAACTCCGGGCGCCAAGGGGTAGGGCAGGGGGAAACAGGTTGGCTTCAAGGGGCTGGAGTTTTGTCCATGCGCCCACTCTGGTCCCTCGTGGGACTGAGGCGTGAGCATGAACGTGGGCACAAATACATTCGAACGACACCATGGTAGCAGCGAAGGCGAAAGCCCCGAGAAAAGACAGATGCAGCTGGGACAGGGGTGAGTCTGAACAGGAAAAACCATATAAACACAAAAGGGTTTGATTGGTTTTAAGCCGGGAAGGGGCGTCGTTGAGAGGGTGCCTGGCACGGACGATGGGATCGGGGTGGCGTCGGTGTTTGGAGCCGGCGGTTTGCGTGGCAAGTGCGTTTGGCTGGCCGCATTTGTTTGGAATGCGTGACGGGCGGAAAGGCCTTTCACCAGCAACTGGCAGTCCTCCGCCCGCGTGCCAGAACATATCGTCGCGCGCTCGCAACGGGGCGTGGGAAACGGGGTTGGGAAGAAAACGCGAGTCTCCTTCCCAAGAATTCCTTTCGATAGGCAGCAACTTATCTTTTTTCTATTCATATGCTGCACGGCCAACCGAACGAACGAAAGACTATCTTGGCGCGCAGTGTTAGCTTCGCTTGCGCGCATCCTGGCTTCCTTCCGTTGCTTCCTTCGCTTCTTTCTCGCCCTCCTCTTCTTTTTCCATTTCCCCCGCTTTGCCTTGTCCCGCCCCCCTTTCCTTTCCAGCTCGGGCCTGTCACCGCGCGCGAAAAGCGCAGCCCAAAGGGCTTTGCTGTAATTCCTTTGTGTGCCACCAGGTCTCGTGTAATTCCTTTGTGTGCGGTCCGGTGACATTGCCAACCCGGGGGGCACACAAAGGAACTTTCTTTGTGTACGATCGTTTTCGCCGGCCCCACATGAACACGCGCGATTCCTTTTCGTAGAACTTGTTTTCCCGTCTCGAGGATCGCGCGGGGCCTGGCACTACTAACGCAAAATCGCGGTGCCTGGCAGTGCTATGCAGCTGTGCCAGATACTACGCCCAAAACGATCCTACGTGGATTTCGGCACTTATGCCGGAATCACGCTGGCAGCTGGCCAGCCACATCGCTGGCCCTGCATGCCCGCGCGCGCTACGGCGTTCAGCTGCCGCGACGCGTGCTGCTGTCAACGGATGAACAATCTGACGTTGCATGGTGGTTTGGTTGTGCCAAGCCACCATGTCATGTCTGTTGGTTGCGGTGCTTAGGATCTTGTCGCCGCCGACAGTGCTGCCACACCATACCTTTCAACTGCATCTTAGAGCACGGCCGTGCATCAACCCTGGTCCGGATCGCAGGGGATCCGATGGCATGTGTGCACATGCGTTGCACCGTTGGTGGTGCCAATACCCTTCTTGTGACATTCCTTGATGCCCTGCGCATGTGTTTACAAGGGATCGTGGCCGTCCATACCACAACTGTAGCAGGCATTGAGGTGAGATCGCGATTCCCCAATACATTGTAAAAGGGGTCTCGGGCGAAACGGCTGCCAGACCGGCGATCTGGGGTAGCGGTCTTGGGCTCGTCATCTTCCCTTGTGGGACTCTTCTCTGGTTCTTTTCAAACTTTCTTAAGACTTCTGTAGGACCCCGTATCGGAACGGGATCAGGGAAACAGCCTGGCTTTCAGGGGTACGATTGTATTCATGCGTACACCCTGGTCCCTCGTGGGACTTGGGCGCGACAGCAGGTGCATGGACAAAACCAGAAGAAGAACACTGCATAATCATAAATTTTCGGAGCTCTGCGCACGCGGTTTTCATGGATCGTCGCTGGACCCCCCTTCTTGGCGCGTGGAACGCGCCACGGGCGGCACTGGAAGCGCCGCCAGAAGGGGGCCCAACGCCGATCCAAAAAATCCGCGCGGAGCTCGGAACGCTTGTGTTCAGGCCATTGTCAGCCCCAGCTTTGTGGGGGGGCGCCCTTGTGTTTTTCGTGTTTGGGCATTGGATCTATAGGAAAGACCACACCACGCTGCTAGCTGCTCGCAGTGGATTCTTGGATACCAGGTCGCCACACATTCGCAGCGAACTCTTCGCTACTCATCCTGTGTTGGTCGCCCACAGCTGGCGTCGCCGTGGCCCCCCCTCTGGGGCCCCCCGGCCGTCCGGGGCGTGGCCCGCCTGCGGGGTCCAGCGCGGTCCATCGACGTGAAGGCGCTGCTGCGGCTGCTGGAGGACGCGGTGGCGCTGGGCGCCGGCGGCTCCGAGCGCCACGGCGGCTCCCGGCAGGTCCACTGCTTTTCGTCGTCGTCGTCGTCGCCGCCGCCGTCGCCGCCGTCGCCTGCGCCGCCGCCGTCGCCGTCGCGGTCGCCGCCGTCGTCGCCATAGCCGCCGTCGCCGCCGCCGCCGCCGTCGTTGTCGTTGTCGTCGTCGTCGCCGTCGTCGTCGTCGTCGTCGTCGTCGCCGTCGCCGTCTGTGTCCGCCGTCGCCGTCGCCATTGTCGTCGTCGTCGTCGTCGTCGTCGTCGTCCTGGTGCAAAGATCGGGAGTCGAGATCTCGAGCATCGGGGCTCGAGGAGCGAGGTTCAGAGGAGGGAAATGTACCCATACCGCTACACTCGTCTCGTTTTCCACTTTTTGGGCCTCCTGGGAGTCCCTCGTCGCCACCGCTGGATTCGCCTCGAAGTCTTGGTCAAGACGCACCCTGCGAGAGGTCCGGGGAGTGGCTGTATCAGTACCCTTTGGTTTCCCCATGTGCATAGGGGGAGGCGCGCCCTCGGAGCAGCTGGCGCGCGGGCCTGCCATGAGCACCCAGGGGTCCTTGCGCCCCGTGTTGTCCTGCACCCCTGCTGATTGTTGGTTTTGAGTTCGCGTCGATCCCAGCCAGGACAAACTGTGGGGCTCAGGATCGGCGTAGATGGACAGCCAGAAGGCATCCCCCAACCTTTGGAACCTCACATGCTGTCTCATGCCACGGGCTTTGGGACAAGGCCCCGCCTTTGCCGAACCCATTCAGCCGACTCGAAGCATTGTCCAGGGACTCCGAGGGGGCACCCGATTTGCACGCTGCCTCACATATCTTATCTTGTCTCGCATCACCACCGCACATCCAGGCATGGATTCTCGCATCTGGATAGAGGATCTGTCTCAGCGTGTGCACGCCTCGAGGACGACCTTGAGAAGTAACCTTGTAGCAGGATTGTTGGATGCATGCGAGGCCTTGCAGGAGCAACAACTCACTGTGTCTCCCAAGAGTATCATATTATGTACATTCATAGACGATGCAACACATATCGCACGTAGTCTGCAACTTCGGGGTTTTGAGGTTAAAGCCAACACGCAAGTCGGGTACCTTGGGGCCGACTTGGGAGGTGGACGCCGTCACGCCCGCCAGGTTTGCAGGAATTGAGTTCAGAAAGCGCAGCCCATGCATTGTAAAGTGGTAGGCTTTGTCAGAGCAGCGACACGTTATCATGTAACCAGCAAGCTGACTATGGCTGGCACGCTGGCCGCGGAGTTATATGCCCATCAACTTCACGGCGTCATTGGTAGTGCCATGGTGAGGTGTAGGAGGCAGATGGGAGCAGTGTGCGGGACGGGAGCGAAAGGAAGATGCTTGACCACACTTCTGGATTTGCGCTGCCCTGGAGGGGACCCGATCTATACGCTGCCACGCGCCTGCCTTCAATTATGGTTACACCAATGGCTTACGATCCCAAGCCTGAGGCCCAGTATATCCCAGGCGTGGCCCTGACTGTTGGCCAGGTTTCGTGGGACCTCTCCTGGACAGCGGTCCCGTCTGGTCCGAGGGCCCACGGGGGCCCTAATCCTATACCTTTTAGAAGCAGGCCGGGATCCAGATGAACCTTTTCGATGGGTTGCTCCTGATAGCGACGTGTACGGGGATTTGGCTGAGTGGAAATTCCTGTCCGGGATTTGGCTGAGGGATTGGGCAAGCTCATCGAAGACGACCCCACCCCATTGCTTGATGATTTTGAAGCGACGGTCCGTGCGCTGCAGTGGGGCCTAGCGTCGGCCCATGTCAGTGGAGGTGGCATGGAGGGAGGAGAGGACAACTTCTCCCTTCGTCGTTTGTTGCGTCGTATTCAGCATGTCGGTAACGGACATCGTCTCTCTGACATTCTCGTTCCCATTGCTCGTGGAGGCTCGTGGACGCGAGCTCGAAGGCAGGAGGAGATCAAGGGAGGAGTGGAAGATGTCTTGTGCCCACGATGTCGGAACTGCCCAGAGACAATGCTTCATCGTGGCTTGTAGTTGCGAGTCGAATCTAGGAACGAATGCCTACCAGGACAGCGATTGTTTGGTCAGCGCAGCCTTTGCACAGTCAGATGCGGAACCGTGTATGTGGTTGAGAGGTCTCTTTCCATCGAGCTACAGTCAAGTCCCTCCTCCCCCCGTTTCAGGAGTCTTGGACCACCACTGGGACGAATTCGGAGAATCTGGAGGCTTTTCTGGGATACGGCCATCTTGGGGACCCTCTCATCATTCTTGGAGACGCCAGCGGAGGAAAAATGACCTCGGATCCTCGCTTCAAAAGAGTTGGAGTTGCGACAATGGCGCTGCAGTCGTACGAGCCATGCCGTCTGCGAGCTTCGATCATCGGCCGTTTGGCTGGAAGCCGACAGACCGTGCCGCGCTGCGAGCTGCGTGGACTGCAGCTCGTCCTCGAGGCCACAGCCGGCGCCATCTGCTATGTTACCGACTGCGACATTGTTGCTGCAGGTTTTGATGACCGCCTGTACGACAGGCCACCAGGGCCGAACGCTGATTTGTGGCTCGCGATTGGAAAATTGTTGGTCAGCGGACGGGGCCTCGTTCCAGTTCTGTTCGTCAGCTCTCATTTGGCTCCTGAGCAGATTGCGGCACTGCGAGTGCCATCGTGGTTGACTGTTGGAAACACTGTCGTCGATCTTCTCGCCGCCGGCCGAGGCGGCGGAGCGCGCCCGAATGCCCGTCCAGGCACTGCGGCGCGCGGTTCAAGCAGAGAGGCTCATCTACTTGGTGCGGACGCGGCTCTTCGGAACTACCTCCGACACGTTGGTCGCCGAGGAACTGGGTGGGAGCTGCGTCGCGAGGAGGGTAGGGCCTCCTCCCCCTCCCCCTTCTCCTCCTCCTCCTCCTCCTCCTCCTCCTCCTCCTCCTCCTCCTCCTCCTCCTCCTCCTGCGCCGCCTGCTACTGTTGCCTCCCTGCTGTCCCGGCACAGGTTGAGCGATGATCGTGCGCAGTGTCTGCGGCGTTTCGGGGCCACCAGCCAGCATGAGTCCAGGACTTTCTGGGCGTTTCCGTGTTTTGAGCTCCGTTCGATCGATAATTGGTTTGCCTCTGTGCCCTCCGGGGGGGCGGCTCCCTATCGCTGGGGGGGGGGGGGGGCGCATAGCGCGCTTTCGCTGAGACTTGGGCGGCCCCTGGGCGTATGGTTTTGTTCCACGCGTGGGTATTTTGGATATCGACAGTTGCGAGGTCTCGGAGACTCATGCGATTCATATGTGAAGCCCCGCCGTCGTGATTATCTCAATCGGTTGACGGCGGGCCTGTGGCCGAAACAGCTCAGCAAGGCTGAGCAGCGCCACCGCGGTTCATAATTTTTTCATTCAACGACTACGTCGGGTAGCTCGAAGCTCGAAGTTCCTCCTCCTCCTTCCCCTCCTTCCCCTCCCCCCCTCATCTCACTTCCGCGGCCTCCTCGTCCCCCCCCCCCCATCTTCCACGGCCTGTCTCCTTCGTCCTTTTTCTCGTTTATCTCCTCTGTCCGTCTTCCTGCCCCCTTTTCCCACTTTTCGGTGCCTCTCTCTTTTCTCCTCCCTCATCATCACCCTCCTCCCTTTCTCTTCCCTCTGTCCACCTCCCGTCCCCAGTCCATCGCCCCATCCTGCTTGCTCCCCCCGACCAGTCCGCACCCATGGCGCCCTGCTCCATGCCATCACGCCATCACCTCCATCGCCTTATTTACCCCTCCCGTTTTACCTCGTGCCTGGTGCCTCGTGCCTCCTTTTCCTCCTCCTCCACTTCGTCTTCAACACGTTTGCACATATAGCTGTCGCTGTCGCGCCCCCAGACGTGTCGGTAGGACAGGCCGGGCGTTTAGCTTGAGTTTTCTTTGTCAATTATGATCATGCAGCTCGGGAGATGCAAATGTTTCACGGATCGTTTTTTTTTTTTTTTTGTTCTCTCTCTCCCTTCCCCTTCAAATTGTGGTTATCGCCCTAGCGCCGCGCACATTCGTCTTATACGCTTGCAACTGGTTCGTGTATCGAAGGTGGTTCGTTTTCAACATGTGGTTCTTGCCCTTGCGCCGCGCACATTCACTGTAAACGTTTACAACCGCTTCAAGGAAGGAGGGCGGCTCGTTTTCGAAGTGTGGCTCCGCTTCAGCACCACGCACATTCGTTTTCATATGTTGCAGCAGCTTCCAGGATGGAGTGCGGTTCCTTTTCGAAGTGTGGCTCTCGCTTCAGCGCCGAACGCATTCGTTTGTACAAGTTGCAGCTGCTTTAATAACTAGTAGAACTGGATTCGCAGGATCGGTGCTCTTGTACGGTTTAGGGGTTTATGAGCGCCAGGACGCAACCGTATAGGATTCGCGGTGTTGAAGGTCCACGAATCGTGCTTTGGTGCGATTTACGATGTGCCAGGACGCAAAAATCACGTTGTCTCGCGGCGGGGAAATCGCATGATTGCCGTTTCTTATACGGTTGTCCTCCAAAACGACATTTCCAGCATTGCGCATATTTTCTTGCAGGGGCCTATGGAAGGGGAGTTTGGAGGGAGGGTTCATTGCAACATCGTTGATGCATCTTGGGCTTACACTGGTCCTCCTGTCCTCCTCCTCCTCCTGGCGTCCCGCCTTCTTTTCCCCTCCTCTTCTTATCCTCTTCCCCCTCGTGCCCTTTCCTCATCTCCTCCCTTCTTTCCTCCATGCCTCTTCACGTGGCTGTCTGGATTCTTCTTGACTCCCGCAGCTGAAGAAGTCCAACACCCAGGATATGTACGAGCTGGCGAACAAGACCACTGAGTTTGATCTGTGACCGGGTGGAGGAGGTGAAGCAGGCTCACTGAGTAAGACGAGCCCGCGTCCGTGGAGTTGTGGAAGCCGCGCATGCGTCTGGTCCCCTCAAAGCATCCTGGAGGTGTGGTTCTCCCGCATCCTTTCCAGGCTTTCCAATTGGCCAGGAGGGAAGCCAGTATCCCCTCCTGCATGCTTTAGAATCACTGCCGCCAGTGCGAGCTTCCCTTCCAGTGGGGTTCAGGATTCGAAGGGTTTGATCCCTTGCGTTTGTGGAGGACGATCAATGGAGAGGAAGCATGTTGCCAAACCATTGCCGTATTTCTAGAATTTGTGTTAAAACTGTTTTCAACATGTAGAAAACATGTTTGAATCATTTTCCGTTTTTTTACATAGTAAACACATTTTCTTAATTCGATGATAGGACTGTTAGGGTGTCCACTGTCGTGGCTTCCACAACTTCGCATGACCTCTGTCGGCTCGGGCCAAGCATCCCCACACGCGGCTGGACTGTCGTGTCGCGTTGTGCAAGGGCATTGTATATTTCCAACCCCTCGCGTAGGCTTTCACCTCGTGCCGTGCGTTAGGACATCCTCTCTTGAGTTCTCTCCCTAGGCGCATGCAGCTCAATCGGCATCTGCCGCCGGGCCAGGCTTTGAAGCGATGCTGTTCGTCCGAACGCCTCTTCAAACAGGGAGAGCCGCACAATTTGGCCTTCAATGCAAAGTCGTTCGATTGGGTGTTTCTCTTATCAGCCAGCATATAGTACTTCAGCATTTTATCATAGGAAGTGGAACGGCACATGTATTAGTTGAGGGAGGAGGATGAAGAGGAGGGAGGGGCGTAGGACGGATGATGATGATGATGATGATGATGATGATGATGATGATGATGATGATGATGATGCTGCTGATGATGATGATGATGATGCTGCTGCTGATGATGATGATGATGATGATGCTGATGATGATGATGATGATGATGATGATGATGATGATGATGATGATGATGCGGAGGATGAGGAGGATGAGGAAGGGAACGAGGAAAAAGAGGAGGAGGAGGGGCGTTGGGCGACACAGGTGCTCGCCCCCTTGGGGGGTCCCCTGGCCCTCTGCGCCCTTCGTGGTTTCCCACTTTATTCCCACAGGCTTTAGATTAATCCTCCCGCCCCCAGGGGCAACGGCCCCTGGAAGGGTGGGATGGCAGCGTCCAACCCAGGACTCCGATGTGTGCAGCCCGAAACCGAGGAGGAGGAGGAGGAGGAGGAGGAGGTGCAGAGTAAACCCAGGACACGTCCATGATGCTGTAACGCCCCCTCCCGTCCCAAGTCTTCTTTCATGAGCCCCTGCAGGCATCCTATTACACTTCGGGGAACACAACCCTGAAAGACGAATGCCACGCGGGCCCATGGTTCTGCCATTCAGACGATCGCCCCGTATTGATAAGTACCTTTCGCGAGGCACAGGAAGTGCCCAGCGAGGTCACCGTTCTGAAACATACATACCCCCTGTCCTTGTGTGTGATGTGATCTTTTCAGACGGGCTGTGCGCGGTGTTCAGGCGAGAGTCTATTTAAGCATACGACCGCGAGGGTCAGTCCAGGTTTCGGCGCCGCCTGTTGCCGCCTCGTTGCCGCCCACTTAGGAGTGTCCGTCGAGGTTTCGCCGCGCCGCCGCTCATTGCCGCCTCGGTGTAAGCCTTTAAGGACGGGGGGTCCATCGAGGTTTCGTTTCGCCGCCGCCCGTTGCCGCGTCGTTGCCGTGTCGGTGCCGCCCACTTAAGGGGGAGGGAGGTCCGTCGAGGTTTCGAGGCGTCGTCTCCCTTTGCCGCCTCGTTACCGTCCACTTGGGCTTGTCCGTCGAGGTTTCACCGTGTCGCCGCCCGTTGCCGCCTCGTGGCCGCCTCAGTGCCGCCCGCTGGTGAGGTCCGTCGAGGTCTCGTCGCTCTGCCGCCTTTTTCAGGCTCGTTGTTGCTTACTTAGATGCGTCTGTCCAGGTTTCGCCGCGTCGTCGCTCGTTGCCGCCTCGTTGTCGCCTCATTGCCTCCCTCTTGGGGGGGTCCGTCGAGGTTTCGCCGTGTCGCCGCTCGTTGCCGCCTCGTTGCCGTCCATTTGGGTTTGTTCGCCGAGGTTTGGCCGCGTCGTCGCCCATTGCCGTCTCGCTGCTGCCTCATTGCCTCCCTCTTGGGGATCGGTCGGGGTCTCGCCACGTCGCCGCCTGAGGCCGCCTCGTTGCCGCGCAGTTGGCGAGTCCGCCGAAGTTTCGCCGCGTCGCCGCACGTTGTCGCCTCGTTGCCGAGTCGGTGCATCCCCACTTGGGGGACGTGGTCCGTAGATGTCTCGCCGCGTCGCCGCCCGTTGCCGCCTCGTTGTCGCCACGTTACAGCTCACTTCGGGGGTCCGTCCTTCTCTCGTTGCGCTCGTGCCCGTTGCCGCCTCTTGGCCGCCCACTTGCTTGGGTCCGTCGAGGTCTTGCCGCGTCGCCGCCCGTTTCTGTTTCGTTGCCGTCCACCTGGGTTTGTCCGTTCAGGTTTTGCCACGTCGCTGCCTGTTGCCGCCACGTTGCCGCCCACTGCGCTTAAGGGGTCCGTCGAGGTTTCGCCACATATCTTGCACCACATATTCTGCTTGCACCACGTAAGCTTGCACCACATAGCTTGTCGCATCCATATTGCATCACATAGCTTGCGCATCCGAGTTCAAAACAACTAGACGGGCATGCCCGGCTTCAGTCTCCCGGACCTACTCTAAAACCATATTTTTCAAGTCCTTATTTAGTTTCATGCTTTGCCGTCATCGCGCGAGTGATAGTCGAAAACCTAGTTTTAAAAATGGTCACGGCTATCTTCCCCCACCTCCTCTTCCTCCTCCTCTCCCTTCTCCTCCTTCTCCCCCTCCTCCTCCTTCTCCTCCTCCTCCTCCTCCTCCTCCCCCTGGTGGAGGTTGCGGAGCGATGAATTTGGAGAAATGTTTGGGGGAAGATTTGCGGGAAAATCTGAGGGAGGAAGATCTGGGGAAAGATCTGGCAGAAGATCTGGCGGAAGATCTGACGGAAGATTTGCGAAAGATCTGACGGAAGATTTGGCGGAAGATCAGGCAGAAAATTTGGAAGATAAATTTGGTGGAAGATTTGGAGGAAGATATGGCGGAAGATTAGGAGGAAGATTTGCCGGAAGATTTGGCGGAAGATTTGGCGGACCATTTGGCAGAAGATTTGCGGGAAGATCTCGCAGGAGATTTGGAGGATCAATTTGGCAGAATATACATATAGCGGAAGATTTGGCGGACGATTTGGCGGAAGATTGACGGAACATTTGGAGAAAGATTAGGCGGAAGATTTGGCGGAAGATTTGGCGGAAGGTTTGGCGGAAGATTTGGCGGAAGATCTCGCGGGAGATTTGGAGGATCAATTTGCCGAAGATTTAGCGGAAGATTTGGCGAAAGATCCCGCGGAAGATGTGGCAGAAAATTTGGCGGAATATTTGAAGGATAATTTTGGCGAAAGATTAGGCGGAAGATTTGGAATATGAATTTGGCGGAAGATGTCGCAGAAGATTTAGCGCAAGTTTTGGTGGAAGATTTGGAGGAAGATTTGGCGGAAGATTTGGAGAAAGATTTGGAGGGGAAAATTGGCGGAAGATCTGGCGGAAGCTCCGGCGGAAACTCTGGAGAAATTTTTGGCGAAAGAACGGGAGGAGGAGGTGTAGCAGGACGAGGAGGAACGCAGTGGAGAAGGAGGAGGAGGAGGCGGTGGAAGAGCAGGAGCCCCCAGCTCTTCGTCCAGATCTTCCCCAAGCTTCCGCCAGATCTTCCGCCAGATCTTCCGCCAGTTTGATCCTCCAGATTTTCCGCCAGATCTTTCGCCTGATCTTCCTCCAGATCTTCCGTCAGATCTTACGCCAGATCTTACGCCAGATCTTACGCCAGATCTTCCGCCAGATCTTCAGCCAGATTTGCATTCCAGATCTTCCGCCAGATCTTCCGCTATAATCTCCGCCAGATCTATCCTCCAGATCTTCCGCCTGACCTCCCTCCAGATCTTGCGCCAGATCTTCCTCAAGATTTTCCGCCAGATCTTCTGGCAGATCATTCGCTCGATTTTCCGCGGGATCTTTCGCCAGATCTTCATCTTCCACCATATCTTCCTCCAGATATTCCGCTAAATCTTCTCCAGATCTTACCCGAGATCTTCCGCCAGATCTTCCGCTAGGTCTTCCGCGAGATCTTCTGGCAGATCATCCGCCAGATTTTTCTCCAGAGTTATATTCCACATCTTCCGCCAGATCTTCCGCCAGATCTTCCGCCAGTTTCATCCTCCAGATCTTCCACCAGATCTTCCGCCATATCTTCCGCAAGATCTTCCGCCGGATCTTCCGCCAGATCTTCCAGCAGATTTTCCGCTAGATGTTCCGCGAGATCGTCCGCCACATTTTCCGCCAGATTTTCTTCCAGATCCTCCGCGAGATCTTCCGCCAGATCTTCCGCTATATCTTCCTCCAGATTGATCTTCGAAATTTTCTGAGAGATCTTCCGCCAGATCTCCCGCCGGATCTTCCGCCAGGTTTTCCGCCAGATCTTCCTCAAGGTCTTCCGCCAGATCTTCCGGCATATCCTCCGCCAGATTTATCCTCCAGATTTTCCGTGGGATCTTCTGCCAGATTTTCGCTAGATTTTCCGTCACATCTTTCGCCAGATCTTCCGCCAGATCTGCCTCTCTCAGATATGTCAGCAAGTATTCCCGAAACATTCTTCCACATTTACCGCTTTGCAACCGCGTCAAGTCTTCCTTTGGACACTCCCCAGATCTCTCGACAGAGTTTTCCCAGATAGTCCTCCTGCTGTTCCAGAGTGTTCCTTGTTTTGTTTCATGCCGCGTCGCGGGTCTACTTCTTTTTTTTGAATTCCTAGTTTTGTTGTCTGCCTTGCTTCGGGGCTGCAATCTCTACGGGACAACCTAGAATGTTTAATTATTTATGTTATGAATCCTTGTTGCTTTAACCTCCCTGTATTGAATCGCTTCGCTCATTCCGCCAGCCCGTTTTGTGCCATCATTCGCGGGCCATGCGGCGTTGTTGGTCGGCGTTGTTGCGGTTGTGGGTGAGAGTCATCATGGATGTTTCTTGGTGTGTCTTCGGAGGGTTCTCGGGGGGCTCCTGTGGAACAGTTTTATGGGCTCTTGGGGGCCTTCTGGGGGCGCCTTGGAGGCCTCTTGGAGCTCGCTTGGCGCCTCTTGGGGGCTTCTTGGACCCTATTGGGGGGCTCTTGCGGGCCGCTTGTGGCAGCCTGGATGCCTCTTGAGGCCGAACGCTCGAAATGTTCGTTGAGGCTCCCTCTCGAGGGGTCTTCCTGAAGGTGTCTTGGGGCTCTCCAGCGCCGTCTTGGGAGAAACTGGGGCCGTCTTGGAGTCCCCGTGGGCAGTTTTGGGACTCTCTTGGAGGCTCAATGGGCCGTCTTGGAACGATATTAGGAGCTTCTTGGGTTGTCTTAGAGCGTCGGCGGCCGAGAAGGTGAGAACGCTGAAAACCTTCAAAAACCAATGGACGATCGTTCAATTTTGCCTCTAGGGGGCTTCTTCGGAGTGGTCTTGGAGGCATCTTCGGGCGTCTTGAGGGTGGTTGAAGCCGTCTGGGGGCTCTCTGGAGCATCTTGGAACGACTTCGGTGGCTCTGGGCCCTCTAAGACCGCCTTGGGGGCCTCTTGAGACGCTACTGAAGGCCCTGAATGCAGCCCCAGGAGTTCTGGCATCCGTGACGAGGGCCGCTGGGGACTTGCCCATGGACCGGCCGGGATTGGCATGGGGTCTTCTCCGTCCGGGGAAACCACTGGGCAACCACGCGCGCGTGAATTAGAAGTATTCTAAAGCCATGATTGGAGATTTTAGCACACCTTTGGCCTGTTGGGCTGGCGAATTGCTCAGGGTCCACGGTTGATATTTCTGTCATATGCGCTCTCAAGGTGTAATTCACAATCTCTAGTCCCCCCTGCCCTTGCGCTCGCGGGGCGCCCTGTCCATACGAGAGGGAGGGGGTAGTGGTAGGGGGGAACCCCTTCCCAGAGGGAAAGAGTGGGGTTGGAAGGGGAAGCGCGCTAAACCACTTCCGCCCAGAGGGCTGGTCGGACTCCTCGTCGTCCTCCTCTGCCCGTCTCCTTCCTCCTCCCCCCTTCCTCCAGAGTCGTCCCCTCGTCCTCTCGTCTCCCTGGGGACGTCGTGGCTGGCCCCTGTGGTCGTCGGGGGGCCCTGGCAGGGGGCCCTGGGAAGGGGCTGTGCCCGCAGCGAGACGCGCCGAGAGAGGGGGGGGGGGCCTTTGAAGAGATCTGCGGAGCCCCGACAGTCGCTCCGCCAGGTAGGGCGGGCCTTCGCACCCGTCCGCCCACGTGATTCTGCGCGCGAGGAATCCCCATACCTTTAGCATGTCGGAAAAGTCAGGGCGGAAGTGTTCCATAATTTTATGCCTCGGAGGGCCTCGGAGTGCCAGCTCGGGATGAATGACGGGCCCCTGGGGCAGGGGCCCAGAGGTCCAGATAACCTCCTTGGCGACCATATGCACCTCCGAGCAGGTTCTCAATCCCTCAGGGCGTCCCCCTGTCCTCGCCCTCGAGGGGTCGATGGGTTGGCTTCTCCTCCTTGGCGCCAGGCGTCGGCAGGCCTTCGGAAGCCTTGGGAAGCAACGCGAGGGCGGCTCCGTCGGCAGAAGAATGCGGGCCGTTGCATTTTTTTTTGTTTTTTTTTTTTTTGTGTGTGTGTGTGTGTGTGTGTGTGTGTGTTCGGGGCTTCTGGAGCGGGCAATGTGCCAGTGGGTGCGGAGACGGATCGAGCAACAACAGACCTTCTTTGGCACCTTCTTTTTGATGCGCAGGTGGTCGGACACGAACCCGAGGAGGTCCGCATATGCTTGAGGTGCTGCTTGATCGCATGGTAGTTCACCGATCCCGAGGGGATCCTGTTTGGTATGTTCGTATATAGCTGGTGTTTTCTGGGGAGTTTTAGAAGCCCTTCATGCTTCAATCATGCAGTGATGATGTCTCCACCGAGAAGTGCGTGTGGAAGACTTCCTGTGCGCCATTGTTCTAGTCTCACCTGGCCTACCCATACAGGGTGGGGTGGGGTGTCGACAGTTGTGCCTCTGGCCCAGGGCGTCCCCAGCTCCCGGGCACTTGTTTGGAGCCTCGAGGACCCCCTCTGAGCAGCGCTTGGGGCCTCGCGAGGCCTCCTTGGCAGCTCCGCGAGACGCCCTGGGCCAGGACCCGTCGACACCCCACGAGGGGCGCGAGTGCCCTTCTGCGCGCCCCGGCTGCCCATGCACGGCAGGCCTGGGCCGCCTCGGCGCGGCGGCAGCGCGCGGGCGTTCAAGCTCGAAGGCCTTTTGACTGCCCTCCGGAGAGACGGCCCCCCGGAGAGCGGAGAGCGGCGGCCCAGGCTCGAAGAACAAGAATCGGTCTGAACAGAATTTCTCGCTGCGCCGCGCGGATTTCTTGGATCGGCGCTGAGGCCACCTGGCGGCGCCTCTGGCGCAGCCGCGCCAAGGAGGGCGGTCCAGCGCAGATCCAGGAAATCCGCGCGGAGCGTCGAACGTTTCTGTTTCTGCAGTTTTTTGCTCCTCAGCGCTTGCGCCGTCGTGGCGCGAGCCTGCTGTGACCTCCGGCGCCCTCACCTGTTCCACCCGTGCGTCCCAGAGCTCTCGGTATAGCAGGCTGCGAGTTGGGATGCGCCCCAAGCAATGGGTGTTCCCACTGGCAGTTCCCTGGCCACGCAGGCCGTACAGATGGTCAAGAAAGCCTCAAGAGGCCCCGAAGACGCCCAAGAGCGCCCCAAGAGGGTTCGAGATGACTTGAAGATGGCCGACGAGGGCCCCAAAAGGGCCTTCAAGAGGCAAACATCGGCCGAGTATCCAAGAGGCCTCCCACGAAGGCCCCAAGAGGCAAAAATCCATGTCTTGCCATCGGTTTTTGATTGATGTTCGAGTTTTCAGCCTTTGGGCGTCCTGACGCTCCAAGACGGCCCAAAAGGCCTCCAAGACCAATCCAAGATAGCCCAAGAGGCCTCCAACAGGGCCCAAGACAGCCCGAGAGGGCACCAATAACGGCCCCAAGGGGTGCCCAAGAGGGGTAAGACGTACCGAAAATCCGAGCCTTCACCCCGAGAGGCTCTCAGGAAGCCCCAGAGGCCCCCAAGTGGGACCCAAGAGGCCCTCAAGAAGCTCCCCAGAAGCCCGAAGAGGTTCCAAGAAGCATTGTTTTCCCATCGGCCTTTGATGGATTTTAGAGTTCCCGGCCTTTTGACATCCCGACGCTCCAAGACGGCCCAAGTGGCCCCCACGGCCGCTCCAAGATAGCCAAAGAGGCCTCCAAGAGGGCCCCAAGACGGCCCACTCCAAGACGGTGCCCGAGGCGCCCAAGACGGCCCGACAGGGCCCCAAGAGGGCCCCAAGGAGCCCCAAGAAGGGGAACGCGAACCCAACAGCAGAGCTTTCCGCCCTAAGAGGCCCACAGGAGGCCCCAACAGTCCCCAAGTGGTCCGACGAGGCCCCCCAAAGCCCCCCACCAGGCTCCCAAAGGCCCCAAGATAGCCGAACAGTGCTCTCGATGCATCAAAATTGCTTCAAGGAGGCCCCGGGAGGCTTCCGGATTGCCCCAATGTGGCCTCCAGCCGGGCCTCCACGCAGCCAAGTCGGCCAATTGATTGCTTCAAAGACTGCACAACATCACTTTCCGACTGCTCGGAGAACCCTGACGATGCCCCCAAGGGACCCCAAGAAGCCCCAAGATGCCCCCCCGAGAAGCACCTAAGAGGTGCCTCCAACAGCCAATTGAGGAAGCACGGAGAACCCCCCAGAAGCCATTCAGATGCCCCCACGAAGACCCAAGAGGTTCCCAAGAGGCTCTAAAGGAGGCACGACTATGTCACGCGCCTGTGCTTGATAGCACTGTCCAAGATCTTCTAGCGCGCCCCCGGCCTGGGCTAGAACCTGAGCGCGCGCGAAGCGCGCGCGATGGTTCTAGTGTATATATATATATGTATATGTATATATATATATATATATATGTGAAACAAGAAGAAGGGGCTCTTATAAGCTGACGCTTTCGATAAACGGGTGTGTGCTCATATTTCTCCGCAGAACGAGAGGGGTTCCGGTAACGACCTGGGTGAGGTGGTATGCATTCATATGCTTTGGATGGACGATGGGGCAGAACCATATGCAAATTGCAATACCAAAAAGAGGTGGCCTGTCAACCCCGGGGGGGCTAGATCCGAATATTCTTGTAGAAAGGATAATATATGTGGCCCATGCGACGGGCGGCGACGAAGCGGCGACGGGGCGGCGACGGCGAGCACATAGCCACCAGACCGACAGTCAGGCCCACACGGCGGGCGGCGACGAGCCTGCGACAGGGTGTCGACGGCGAGCGCATAGCCGCCAGACCGACAATCAGGCCAAGACGAGGGGCAGCGACGAGGCGGCGACCGGGCGGCGACGGCGAGCACGGAGCCGCCTTGTTGACAGCCAGGCCCAGACGACGGGCGGCGGCGAGGCGGCGATGTGGCGGCGATGGGACCGCCAGCAAAGCCCAGTTCCTCAGACGAGAAGTATGATAACCCCAAATGCAAGCAGTGTTGGGGGAATGATTCGATACATACATACACATCAGTGCGCCGTTCCTAAAAAGGTTTCTGGACGACGTCGTCGTCCTCGCTACATTCTCTGTGCTCGCTCCTTTCTCCTCCCTGGGCCCTGACCGTTGGCGTTGATGGAGAGAAGAAGTACACCCACCTGTTTTTTAGCAGCTCTTCATGACGCCACGACTGTTGTGCTTCTCATTTCTCTCTCCGCCTCTACCTTCTCGCATTCCTCCTGTTTTTCCCCAGTGTTCTGTCCCTAACCTCGTTTCGGTAGGCATGCATTTTGATTCAAATTGCTGCCGCCACCGTGCGCCCGAAGCCATCCTTCCGTGTTGCAGAGATGGAGGAGTGCGCGGAGGCGGTGCCCATGCCCATTCCGCGCAGTGACGATGGGGCCCATGCCACGGAGTGGAACGACTTTGATTCTTTGATCATGCGGGCGAGGCAAGCGCACGATGTGGAGGTCAGGCGTCTCGAGAACGAGGTCCAGAGTCTGCGCCAAAGGCTGGAGGCCGTGTGCGGGGATAGGCAGAGCCTGTGCGCAAACGGGCTCGCCAAGCGAGCAGACTTGCCCGTTGATCCAGAGATGATACACATTGGCACCGAGGAGTCCGTCCCCAATCCAAAGGTTTCCCCTGGTGTGCTGTTTGACGTGTACGAAGGGCCAGCTGACATCCCAGTCAGGCAGCCCAGATATGGGGAGCAGCTGGACAAGCCGGCCTCCCTCCCGCTTAGGCCACCCAGGCAGTCAGACAACCTCGGCGCGAACGTTGACGCAGCAGTCAGGCCATCTTCGCGCTCCGAATTTTCAGATTTCCAGGCGCGGTCCCTGTCGAGGATCCACACAAACACTAAAGGCACAGAGGAGTCCGTCAACTTCTTGAGTCGTTTGGTTGCGCATCCAGGTTTCGAAGTGTTCATATGTACCATTATCATTTTGAATGGGGCCGTCTTGGCTGCCGAGGCTCAGTACCAAGGTTTCGATCTTGCAGTGAGGACCGGTCATGATAGTGCAGGTGGCGTCTCCTCCGATGTGTGGCCTCACGGCGAAGCATTTTTCCAAGCGTGCGAATGGACGTTTGGAATAATATACCTGTTCGAGGTCGTTGTCAAGATCTTAGCCGAGCGTCGCGAGTTCGTCCGGGACTTTTGGAACCTGTTCGATCTTGCATTAGTCGTTTTCTGGCTATCTTTGGCGGCGCGCCGAGGGCGTAAGTGAGATGGGGCAGGCCCTCTCAGAAGGCGGCGGGCTTCGGAGAAGGTCCGGAAGGCTTCTCAGAAGGCCTGAGGCCCTCTGAGCCTTTGAGAAGGCCGGGCTCCTCTGTTTTCCACCCTGGTCGCGCCGCCGATATACAGCCGCTATGACGCTGATGTGAGTGAGACAACGCAGATGCTGCGTTTTTATCGCCTGTCGCGGCTGCTGCGGCTGGTTCGGTTCGTCGGGCCAGCGCCGCATCCGCCGACCCGTTGGCGTGTTTGAGACGGAGCATGGGAGATGATGATGCTGATGATGATGATGATGATGATGATGATGATGATGATGATGATGATGATGATGTTGATGATGATAATGATTATACTGACTATGATGATGCAGGTGATAATGATGATGCTGATGGCGACGATGACGATGCCGATGCTGATGATTATGATGCTGTTGTTGATGATGCTGATGCTGATGCTGATGCTGATGATGATGCATATGAGACCGATGATGATGCTGATGATGATGACGATACTGATGCTGATGCTGATTATGATGGTGATGACGACGAGGATGATGATACTGATGATTATGTTGATGATGATGCTGATGGTGATAATGATGATGGTGATGATGACGCTGATGCTGCTGTTGCTGATGATGATGACGATGCTGCTGCTGATGCTGCTGCTGCTGCTGCTGCTGATGACGATGCTGATGATATGAGGATGTCGTTCGGGCTCTGTTCTGCGTCGATCCTGGCCTGTGGGGGCGGTCTGTGGGGTCGCTGTCTTGGGCCGTCTCGGGCCTACCCGTACAATAGAAACGAGACAGAAGCATCGATCGGAGCCCGAACTTGCGAACGCGCCTCGCGTTGACTGTTTTGGCTTCTTTTTTCGGCCGACCACCCTCGGAACACACATCGCGCGACGAATTGTTCTCAGGACCCGACGACGAAAATGGAAGCGAAACGAGGACCCATGACCCGAACAAAAACGGGGAGCCGTCGTCGCCGCCGCCGTCGTCACCGCCGCAGCCGCCGTCTTCGCCGCATTGTTTTTTTCGCAACCCTCCTATGGTTGGGTACTCGTTTTGAATAGAGCAGTGTGGTCGCCCCAGCCTCCTTCTCCTTCTCCTCCCCCCTCCTCCCCTCCTCCTCTCCTGTTTCCTGTGTTCAGCTCTCCTCTGCTCTCGTGCCGTGGGGCTGCGATCTGCGCAACTGTCACCACTTTCGTGAGCTCCTGGGAGGCCCAGCGGAGGTACGTCCAACGCGGATCACCTCGGGACCTCGCGGCGCCCGGGGGGGCTGCGATCTGCGCAATTGTCGCCACTTTCGTGGGCTCCTGGGAGGCCCAGCGGAGGTACGTCCAACGCGGATCACCTCGGGACCTCGCGGCGCCCTGGGGGGCTGCGATCTGCGCAATTGTCGCCACTTTCGTGGGCTCCTGGGAGGCCCAGCGGAGGTACGTCCAACGCGGATCACCTCGGGACCTCGCGGTGCCCTGGGGGGCTGCGATCTGCGCAATTGTCGCCACTTTCGTGGGCTCCTGGGAGGCCCAGCGGAGGTACGTCCAACGCGGATCACCTCGGGACCTCGCGCTGCCTTGGGGGGCTGCGATCTGCGCAATTGTCGCCACTTTCGTGGGCTCCTGGGAGGCCCAGCGGAGGTACGTCCAACGCGGATCACCTCGGGACCTCGCGGTGCCCTGGGGGGCTGCGATCTGCGCAACTGTCGCCACTTTCGTGGGCTCCTGGGAGGCCCAGCGGAGGTACGTCCAACGCGGATCACCTCGGGACCTCGCGGTGCCCTGGGGGGCTGCGATCTGCGCAATTGTCGCCACTTTCGTGGGCTCCTGGGAGGCCCAGCGGAGGTACGTCCAACGCGGATCACCTCGGGACCTCGCGGTGCCCTGGGGGGCTGCGATCTGCGCAATGTCGCCACTTTCGTGGGCTCCTGGGAGGCCCAGCGGAGGTACGTCCACGCGGATCACCTCGGGACCTCGCGGCGCCCTGGGGGGCTGCGATCTGCGCAATTGTCGCCATTTTCGTGGGCTCCTGGGAGGCCCAGCGGAGGTACGTCCAACGCGGATCACCTCGGGACCTCGCGGCGCCCTGGGGGGCTGCGATCTGCGCAATTGTCGCCACTTTCGTGGGCTCCTGGGAGGCCCAGCGGAGGTACGTCCAACGCGGATCACCTCGGGACCTCGCGGCGCCCTGGGGGGCTGCGATCTGCGCAATTGTCGCCACTTTCGTGGGCTCCTGGGAGGCCCAGCGGAGGTACGCCCAACGCGGATCACCTCGGGACCTCGCGGCGCCCTGGGGGGCTGCGATCTGCGCAATTGTCGCCACTTTCGTGGGCTCCTGGGAGGCCCAGCGGAGGTACGTCCAACGCGGATCACCTCGGGACCTCGCGGCGCCCTGGGGGGCTGCGATCTGCGCAATTGTCGCCACTTTCGTGGGCTCCTGGGAGGCCCAGCGGAGGTACGTCCAACGCGGATCACCTCGGGACCTCGCGGCGCCCTGGGGGGCTGCGATCTGCGCAATTGTCGCCACTTTCGTGGGCTCCTGGGAGGCCCAGCGGAGGTACGTCCAACGCGGATCACCTCGGGACCTCGCGGTGCCCTGGGGGGTTGCGATCTGCGCAACCGTCGCCATTTTCGTGGGCTCCTGGGAGGCCCAGCGGAGGTACGTCCAACGCGGATCACCTCGGGACCTCGCGGTGCCCTTGGGGGCTGCGATCTGCGCAATTGTCGCCATTTTTCGTGGGCTCCTGGGAGGCCCGATGCCCAGCGGAGGTACGTCCAACGCGGATCACCTCGGGACCTCGCGGTGCCCTGGGGGGCTGCGATCTGCGCAACTATGCGCGGGCCATCGCGGCCGCAGAGAGGCACCAGCCAACTCCAAGCACGCATCGCAGTCGCCGCCGCATGGGCTTATGCAAACTAAGATGCGGGTGGGTGAGTGGGATGATTGCGCGAGCACTGGTGTTGACAACTTACTGCGGACATACATTGATTGCACCGCACAGGTTGCACCACATGTATTGCACCACGGGTATATCCCCACGTCGAATAAACAACATCGATTACTAGAAACACGGTTTGGGGTCAATGCCGGCTAACACTAGCTTGCCAGCGCGCAGTGCCCAGAGGGAAAGCGGTACTTTTGGGTTCGGCAGGGGTGAACGCCAGTTTTTTTGTAGGATTTGTGTAGAGTCACACGCTTGGTGACCCTGACGGGGTTGGCGGACTTTGTCAGTTTATGTCCAGCACTGCATTTGATCCCTTGTACATCATGATAACTGCGCTGGGAGGAAGTGCGGTGGTTTTGGCGTGGTCGTTCATATTGTTGCTGACCTTGCACCTTGTATTAGCATTGCTTGTCAATCAGGCTCTTCACCTGTGGTATTGCGAAGGCCTTACGGCTGGTGCCGCCGACCCTGAAGACGGCGATGACGAGTACGACGAGGATGTTGAGGAGCAGGTGGCGGAAGACGCTAGGGAGCAGGAGGGGCGAGGCAAAGGAGGAAGCGGTGAGAGGGGGGAGGAGGAGGAGGACGAGGAGGGGGGCGAGAGGGACGGGGAGGTGAAGACGAGGAGGGGGGGAGAGCAGGGGGGAGAGCGAGGCGAGCAGGGACGTATTGGCAGGGGAAGGACGGCTGACAAGGAGGAGGGGCAGCGGTGGGTAGAGCGTGGCGAGCATGCAGGAGGCCGAGGAGGAAAGTAATGGTGAGGATGTTGATGATGATGATGACGACGACGCGGATGATGTTGGTCATGATGACGATGATGATTTCGTTGAAGGTGGGGGGGTGTAAAGCCGGCGGCAGGAGAAGTCGGAGGAGGAGTAGGAACGTGAGGATGATGGTAATGAGGGGGAAGAGGAAGGGGATGAGCAGGAGGGGCTGCGGCCGAGGAGGAGTGGGAGTAGGAGGCGGAGGAAGAGGAGGGCGAGCATGGGGAGGCTCACGAGGTTGAGGAAATCAAGGGTGAGGGTGCACACATACTCTTGTCCGGAGTGGTTCCCCGGCTGATGGGGGACATGGACGACGTGACGACGACGACGACCACGACGACGACGATGACGACTACGACGCTCACGACAACGATGGACGACCAACTGTTTTGTGGGCAGCGCTTTCGTGACCGAAAGAGGAAAAGGAGGCTCAGTAGAGGGAGGGAAACGGGAGTGGCGGACGTCCCCAGAACCAACATAGGAAGCGAGCCCTCGGGGTGTCTCCGAACCGATGTCCAGGACAGTTGGGACAATCAGGGAAGTGTAGGAGCAAGAAAGGGGCAGCCGTTACCTGTCGACTGAGGAGGATGGAGGGATAATGAGAAGGAAGAGGCTGAGGAGGAGGAGGAGGAGGAGGGCCAGCAGAAGGCCCGAAGCTTTTGGTCTGCTTCTCGGAGTCTCTTGGGATGTCTCTTGGTGGATTCCTTGGAGGCCTCTTTGGGCGCACCTGTGTTGAAGTCGTCTTGGGGGCTCCTGGGTGTGGGTGTTTTCTAGGAAGGTCTTGGGGGCCGCTTGGGAGGCTCGTGGGAGCCTCTTGAGGCTACCTGGGGTCTCTTGGAAGCCGAGGGCTCGACATGTTCGTTCGGGTCCCCCGTCTGGGCTCTTCCTTAGAGCCGTCTTGGGGGCCTCTTCGGTTATCTTGGAGGCCTCTTCGTCGGTCTTGGGGCCTCGTGGGTCGTTGTGGAACTCTCTTGGAGGCGCCGTGGGCCATCTTGGGGCGGTCTTGGGGGCTTCGTGGCGGATCTTGGATCGTCGAGAAGGTGACAAGGCAACACGCCGAAATCTTTGTAAAACTCACGGGAAATCTATGATGTTTGCTCCTGGAGGCCGGTTTCGGATGTTCTCGTTGAGGCTTCCTGGGGCGTTGTGGGAGCCTTTTATGCCGTGTGGAGGTTCCTTTGGCGACTTGTACCAATACGTTATCGATATGGACCGGGAATGGTCTCCCTGGGGAGGGCTCAGGAATGGTCTCCAGGGACCCCCCCGGGAGACCATTTTTGTGCCCCCCCCCCCCCGGCGGGGAAGGGCAAAGGGAAGGGGCTTCTTGGCCGCTAAACCGCCCGAGGAGGAGTCGTATCTGCCCCGGGACCCCCCCGGGAGACCACCCCTGGGAGGCCACCCCCAGTTTTTCCGGGCTTATCTTCGACTCAACTACAACGCTTTCCTTCGCCGCCAAACCGCCCGAGGAGGAGTCGTATCTGCCCCAGGATCCCCCCGGGAGGCCCCCCCCAGGACCCCCCCCCCGTGCGTGGGAAAGGGATCAAAGGGAAGGGGCTTCCCTTCGACTCAACTACGACGCTTTTCTTTGCCGCCAAACCGCCCGAGGAGGAGTATATCTGCCCCGGGATCCTCTCGGAGGCCACCCCTGGGACTTCCGGGCTTCCCTTCGACTCAACTAAAACGCTTTTCTTGGCCGCCAAACCGCCCGAGGAGGAGTTGTATCTGCCCCACGACCCCCCCGGGACCCCTTCCCGGGACCCCCCCCCCCGGGAGGCCATTCCCGGCCCCCCCCCTCCCGGCGGGGAAGGGATCAAAGGGAAGGGGCTTCCTTTCGACTCAACAACAACGTTTTTCTTGGCCGCCAAACCGGCCGAGGAGGAGTCGCATTTGCCCGGGGACCCCCCTTGGGAGGCCACCCCCCCAGATCCCCCCCCCCGCGAGGAAGGGATCAAAGGGAAGGGGCCTCCCTTCGACTCAACTACAACGCTGTTCTTGGCCGCCAAACCGCCCGAGGAGTCGTGTATCTGCCCCGGGACCCCCCCGAGAGACCCCCCCCGGCCCCCACCCTCCCACCAGCTGGGAAGGGATCAAAGGGAAGGGGCTTCCATTCGACTCAACTACAACGCTTTCCTTCGCCGCCACCGGGACCCCCCCGGGACCCCACCTGGGAGGCCCCCCGGGGACCCCCCCCGGCGGGGAAGGGATCAAAGGGAAGGGGCTTCCCTTCGACTCAACTAGAACGTTGCTGAGACTCGACAGCCTCTTCCACACGCCGACAGGGTCGGCGGATTTTAGTGAGAGCCAGGCCGAAGAACAGATTAAGGTGTTCGAGTATTTTGGGAGTTTTTCCCGATCGCTCCTCACAATGTTCGAGTTCACCCTGGCAAATTGGATACCCCCAGCAAGGGTGCTGATGGAGAATGTGCATGAGGGGCTTATAATTTATTCGATCCTGCACAAGATGATCCTTGGATTTGCCATTATAGGGGTTGTTAACGGAGTGTTTATGCAAGAGACCTTCAAAGTGGCTTCATCGGACGATGCAATAATGGTAAGGCAGACGAAGCGTAAAGAAGTGGCGCACATTGCGAAAATGAGCAAACTTTTTGCCAAGGCAGACAGTGATAACGACCTTACAGTTGATCGCAATGAGTGGGCAAGGCTATGCCAACACAAATGGGTGCAGACTTGGCTTAAAGCTCAAGATTTCGATGTCAGGGATCCGTGCAGACTTTTCGATCGATTGGACGATGGAAGCGGGAAACTTACTCCAAAAGCACTCGTCGAAGGCACAGCACGGATGAAAGGTGAAGCTTCGCCCATGGCAATGGCTAGGCTGATCAATGAGCTCCGTGGTTCTATGGATCAGGTTCGCGATTCTGTGGTGAGGATTGAGAGCCAATTTGAATTGTTCGAGCCTGGTTCACTCAAGACATCGCTTCGAATTTCGAGACCCGTCGTCTTGAGGTAGCGCCATTTTCCATTTCCCGGGTAACGCCACACCAGGGATTCCCGACCCCAGTTCATTTTTCGAGTCACGGATTCCTAATCCCCGACTCAAAGGTCGAATTAAGCAGCGTATTCAGACGCGACTATTGCGGGAGACTTCACCACCGCGGACAGCAATACATCTCCCATTGCAGATGTGGCAGCGGAGCTTTCCGAGCCGAGGTGCTCGCGTTTCGCAGCCGCATCGGCATGGTGGCCGCGATGCAGGTCGCCACTGGGGATTCCCAAGCTGGCGCGAAGAGCAGGGAGCCGCTGTGCCAGCGCCCTTGCACCACTCGGCAGCGAACTTTGCGACAACTGCAGCTGAGCATCCTGCAATTCGCACGTCGCAGACGACGCAGGGCGTCCTGCTCCCTCCTCTCGTCCTCTGACCTGCCTCTGAACAGTTTCGAGCACCTCTGCGCGCACGAGCCCTGTTATCGTGCCCGTGCGCGGGCAAGACAAGCTTAGACTCGCTTCGCGTCGGTTGCTCTGACGACCCATGGGAAGGCCCACAGGAGGAGGAGGAGGAAAAGGAGAAGGAGGAGGAGGAGGAGGAGGGTGCTTCAGGGTGGATGGGGCACAACCTCTGCCTGGGCAACGACTCAGCCATGCACCAGCAGGTCTGCTGCATCGCGACTCGCCCGCTTTCGGTATGCTTCTCTCGTGCGGGGCACGGCAGAGGGACCTTCTCGCCATTGCTCGCAGCACGCGGCGACCAGGTCTTTGGTTTTCGCGGCAGGAGGTGCCAACCTGTCTCCGTGGCCAGCACGAGCCCACGGGGGGCGAGGCGCCTCCGCTGGGCTCTTGGCTGGAGAGCGCGAGGCCAGAGCCCTGGGCGCGACGCGGTGCCTCCTCCCTGCGTGCCCTCTCCTCCTCCTCATCTGCGGCGAGCGAGGGAGTGAAGGGTGAAGGGGCGGGCCTTCTCAGACGGCTCGGAAATCCCCCAGCATTCTGGCAAGTTTTCTAAGCCTTCCCGGAAGACAAACAACACCTCTCATAAGGCGGCGGGGCTTTTGAGAAGCCCCGCCTCCTTCTGACAAGGCCTTTTGGTTACCATTTCCTCCCTCGCTCGCCGCCGATCTTAGGTTACAGGAGGATGGTTTCAGGAGGATGGTTAGACGTTAGACTTCCGTTTCTTGGACAGCGCCACGAGCGCTGGGGCTGATCAGTTGACCGGCCACGGTCGCTCCACGCAGGCCGCCAGTCGGCCCGTCCCTTCCCTTGGACGACTCGCGCGTTCGCTCGGTCTTCCTTAGGTTGCAGCTCCTGGGAAGTTAAATCAGTCCTTGACCGTGGTATTTCCTAGATGCTGATCCCGCTTGCCCTGGCCTGATCGGGCTTGATCGGGCTTCATCTGGGCTGGTCCAGCCTGGCCCGGCTCAGGCCGTGGCTCCGTCTGGTCTAGTCCGGCTTGCAAGTTCCGCAGTCTGGCTTGATCGTTCCTCGTCGTGCCCGCAAGGACCTCCTGGGAGTTGCCATCCAGTCTCCCTCCCCTCCCCCCCATGGACTCCCTTCGTCCGCACCCGCTCTCGGCCCCTGCTCGCATGGGATGCTGACATGCGCCACCGCGCTTGAGGAAGTCGCGCAGCATCGCCGCAGCGGGCAACAGCTATAGAGTTGTGTGGTTGTGGTGTCGCCTCTCGGGGGCCTCTCGGCTCCTCTTTGGAACTACTTCTGGGCTCCTCAGGTGGTCTTGGAGAGGCCTCTTGGAGGGCTTGGGGCCTTCTCGTGGGCCTTTCGGCCACGTCTGGGGCCCCTTTGACAAATGCCCGGGGGCTCCGAGCCTGAGGACTCGTAGAGCAACAAGAATAGTAGGTAGGCCCCGCGGCGCTCTAAGAGGGCTCGTGGGCTCGCCCGTCGAGCGAGCGGGCGCGGTCGCCGTTCCCCCCCGTCGTCGACCCAGTCTAGGGCCGGCCGTAGATCGTACTCATGAGTGAGGCTTGGCCAGGGCACCCCTGGTCAAAACGCAACCATCCAGCTTTCGGGCCAAATACCGGCGAAGACCGTCAAAAGACCGCCGAAGGTCGCCCAAGACCGATCGGTATAGCAAGGGGTCCATGGTCGAGGCTGCGTGGCGGAAGGCGCCACGAGGCCCTTTCCAAGAGCAGTTTGCCCAGGTCACCCGCGGGGCCGCGAAATTGGCGGCTTCTCCCGCTTCGCGGTGTAGGAGCTGTCCTCTCGGGAGCGGTGCGACGGCGCGAAGATTCACCGCGCATCATCCCCCGTGCAGCGCGGAGCGCCCAGCCAGGTGGCCTGGGTGTCAGGCCTGGCCACGACCCCCCGTTTGAGCCCTATGATGGCGCCACGGGGAGGCGCTGCGGGGTCCCGTGGCACAAACAGGTCGATGATCCTAGAGACGTGTGCTGGCCCGAACTGTTTGTTCGCCCCGTTTAGCTCCACCGACAGCATGCCGCCTGTGCCGGCTCTGATCCAACCGCCCGCGTCGTATTGAATGGCTTCGGTGGGCGAGCACACCTTGGCGCTAGCACACGTTCTGAGGATCATCGACCCGCGTGCGTAAAGTTATTTTCTCCTTCTGGCTCCCGCGATCAGGCCTGGCAGTGAAGGTCGGCCGGACTGTTAGGTAAGGCGACAAACACGAGCGTCCAAGCCATCATGTGCCTTTGCGATTGGTCGCAACATTCAGCGTTTGGCTAGTTCGGCATAAGGGCAGGCGATAGTGCAAGCAGAACTACTCGTTCATTATCGAGGGGCAAAGCCAGAGGCAATTCCGACCATGGGGTGTTATGACACACTTTGGCGGTTGGTGAATAGCCCTCGCGACTCCCGATTGCAAAATGTCCTCCACATTGCTCCGACGTTCATCCGGAGCAGAGTTCACTGCGATGCCACCTGGCGTTTTCCGGACTAGTTTGATCCCGTGGCCGAAGTTGTTGTTTCAATTGCTGCCACCACACTGCCGAAAGTTTCGACGTACCGTCCAGTTTAAAGGAGTCTTCAAAATGACTCTGTCGTACTCTCTTCGGCTCTGTTTCACTGGTTTCGCTCGATCAGAATATGTAATGCCAGTGCAAGGCGCTCAAAAGGATCTGTTGCTGCTGCTGCCCCTTCTCTCTCAAAAGCCTGCCCCTGAAGTTGACCCAGGGTTCTTTTGGCCAACATTTCGAGGCGGCTCCAGCCGTGGCCACGAGGGCGCCCCAGGAAGCCGAAAAAGGCAAGGAGACGTCCAAACCTCGATTGGATTTCGAGCCCTGGATTCTCCTCTACCCCTATCTGTCTTCCTAAAAAATACACCCCCGTCGCACCTCCAGACGTATCCGTAGGCTGAGCCCAGCGTTTCGCTTGAGACTTCACTGTCATGTATCATCTTGAAGCTCAACAACTCACACAGTTACCAGGATAGAGGGTCGATGATATTCATGATGCGGCTCCTGCTCCAGCGCCGCGCACACGCCTTTTACAGGTGTCCAACCGTCGCAAGGATGGGAGACTGGTGGTTTCCAAAATGCGGCCATTGGCTTATCGCGGGGCACGTTCTTTTTCTTTTAAACGATTTCCAACATACACAGAAACGCACACGCTTTTGTTCCCCAAGTAGGCTTGCCTAAGGGGTTCTTACTTGGTTGAAGTTTGGTGCCTGGTATTCTTACTGAGCCCGTTCCACGGAGGTTCCTCGGATTCCCCGGGCTCCTCGGGTTTCCTGCCCCCGATGCCTCGTATTCTTACGTTGCCCGTTCCTCGGAGATTCTTCGGGGTCCCCGGCTGCCCTGGTCTTGTAATTTGATTTGGTTACTCGGGTTCCCCGCTCTTACTTCTCGGGTTTCTTGGAATTGCAAAGCAGTGCCAAGTAACGCCAATCAATGCAAAGCAATGCCACCCCATGCAAAGCAATCCGACGCAATGCCAAGCAGTGCCAACCAATGCAAAGCAATGCCACGCAATGCCAAGCAGTGCCAAGCAATGCCTAGCAATGCAAAACAATGCCAACCCATGCAAAGCAATGCCACGCAATGTCAAGAAGTGCCAAGCAGTGCCAAACCATGGCAAGCCATGCCAAGCAGTGCCAAGCCATGCCAAGCAAGGCCAAGCAACGCCAGGCAATTCCAAGCAGTACCAAACAATGACAAGGAATGCAAAACAATGTAAAGCAGTGACACGCATTGTCAAGCTGTGCCAAGCAGTGGCAAGCAACGCCAAGCAATGCCAAGGAATGTCGCGCGCGGGCAGCCTCCGCGGCGCGAGGCGGCGCCGGGGCCGCCGCCGAGGCCGAGGGGCAGGGGCCGAGATGGTGGCCGAGGCTGAGATGCTGGATCGAGACAAGATTCGTCGTCGCAAAGGCCGCGGCTGCCTTGGGCGCGCCAAGGGCAAGGGGGACAGTGCGCCGAGCGTCGGACGTCGAGCGGGCGCTCGACCTGGAGCAATTTCCGCTGGGAGCAGTACCAGGGCCAGTGGGGCATCACCGAACATTGTGACGATGATCGATATGGCGGAACAACTGTTCATAAGGCCAGGGGAGAGTGGTTGCGGGGGACTGCGGGGGAAAATCGCGCTGTCTTCGGCCATGGCGGTCGCTATGCTACGGAGTGAAGAGAAATGCTGGCAGAGGCTCGGCCTCTGCAGTGTTACATGCTGAAGAAGAACGGGGCGAAGCTCCTGTACATGAACTTCTACATGAACTTGTGATGCCAGCGTGATTTTTTTGGATTGTATCGGTCCGTTTCGGTTTACTCCCAGGGGGAGGTCCGACGGCTGCATCGGCACCCCTTCCCAGTGTGCCCAGAGCGTTTGTTGGGGCATGCACCGCGGGGGGCCGTTGAGCTTTGGGGGGCGCCGGGAAACCGTGGGTTTCCCGATGGGTAGGCTTAAGCGCTGGACCTACACGTCCCGCCGCGGGGGGAGTTGTTAGTCTTCTCTCCCTGCACGCCCCCTGCCGCCCTCCCGCGCCCTTCCGCCGCCGCAGTTGCTTATGGATAATTACGCATTGCGCGTGCCTTACGCGCTTGGTAAAGTTAGGGTTGGGGTGGTTGTTCCGTCGTCGTTCCTTCCTCTTTTGTTTCACCTTGTGGTGCGAGGCGGTGAACGCCAGTGCAGGCAGGCAAAACTATCGCTGAACCTTACATCAGGGATGCTGGGATATTTCCATTCCCAGATTTCTTGTTTATATCATCACCTCTCGTCCCCCCTCCCCCCTCCGCGCTGACCTGTGTTCCTTTTCCTCTCTCGTCGTTCGGTTTCCCTTGTGTGCTCGTGTCCTCGTCGCCGTCGTTCTCCGAATCTTGTGGGCTGGCGCGGGGCCATCCTTGAGCCGACGCCCGAGTGCATGCGCTTGGCGGTATTCCCGATTCGATGGGGCCTGGTTTTTGGTCGTGCCTTACCATAGCTCACCTCGCTCCTCATTCCTCCCTTTTCCCTCCTCTTTCTTTTTCCTTTTTTCGACGAGCACGACCACGCGACGACAGAAATGATGATGGTGGTGATGATGATGATGATGGTGGTGGTGGTGGTGATGACGTTGATCTCGATGATAAGGAGGATGTTACATATGATGGCCCCAGC